TATAAAATATATTTTTATCTTTTAAAAAACAACTAAAAACTATTTCAAATATGGGTATAGTGAGTGTGTGTTTTTATAAAAAATAAAACACACCTACCACACATTTGCATAATGAAAACACACGTATCTTCTTTTTTTTTCTTTATTGTTTTTTTTAGAAACCCACCCACTATCCAAATTTGATTGTTATAAATGAAATTATATACAACGTGACATAATCAACATTATAAATTTTTCCTGATCCCCTTTTAATATTTTACAAAAAAATAAATAAAAAAAATAGTTCTATTTTTAAATGGTTCTATTTTTAACACTTGAAACTCAATCAATTTTAAAGAGGCAATAAAAAAACTCTATACAAATAAATAATAACCCTAAAAACAAATAAATAATATTATAAAAACAAATAATAATAATAAATAAAAGAAATAATTATTAACAAATAAATAAAAACAATTTTGAATATATTTTAAAATTATCAATTAAAAATGTTTTATTTTTATTTTATTATTGTTCTTACTATAACCTAAAAGTTGATATTGACTTTATTTTGAAGCTAATAACTTTTCTAAAAAGGTTTTAAATTTTGCATTCATATCAAAGGAAATTAATTAAACATCATTAGGTAAACTGTCAGAAATAAAAACCAATATTCTTCCATCTATTACACGAGCTTCGAGAGTTGAAATGATTTCTATGGGAAATTTAATGATGTTAACCATTCACTAACCTTTTTATTTGATCAATCGTTAACAGTATCTCTTGAATGTTTGCTATACACTGTTTTGCTATTCATTTTTATACAAAGGCTTATTCATGAGAACACTGTTTTTGCTATTAATAGGCTAGAATCTGCTTCTCTTTTTAAAAGAATTTTTAAAGGTAGTTTGTCTGTAAGTGGTTTGTGATGGATGTCACTTCTGATCTTATATTAGTTTGCACTTTGATCAATATGGATGGTGTTATTTTGGATCTTTAAAGCCTCGGTTCCATAATCATAGCCAAAACAAAAGATCACAAGGAATAACCCCTACTATTGTTTATTACTGTTACTGTTACTATTATTATTATCGCTGCTATTATTATTATTATTGTTTTATTGTTATACTATTATTATTTATTTTAATCTGATTTTTTGAAATATATAATTCAAAACAAATACAATATTGGAAATATAATTTAAACAAATAAAACGTGGACTTGGTTGTAAACAAAAAAAATAAATAAAAAAAAAATAAAAAAAAAAAATAAAAAAAATAAAAATTAATTTTTTTTTTTCCAATTTTATTTTCTAAAATAAATTTTATTTTGTTACCAAACGAAAAACTTTATTTATATTAAAAAGAGTAAAAATATTGCATAAAAAAATATTAATTATTTGTATACACAATTATATAGATAAAATAAAAGTGATTTTTTCTCTTTTTTTTTTTGTAATTTTTTTTTTTTTTTTAAAAAGTGGGTGGTGATTTAAATCTCACTGTTTTTTTAAGACTGCCTTTTACAAAATATTTTTAAAGTGTATTTTTTTTAAAAAATTATGATAATTTCAAAATTGAGCATTTGGAGGGTGGTGATTTAAATCTCACTGTTTTTTAACACTTTCTTTAAGGTATTTGGAGGGGACGCTGATGAACTTTTTATATGATAAGATTTTTACAAACAACTATTTTGAAAAAGAAATAAATAAAAAAACAAATATTTTAATTTTTTTTATTATATATCTGATTATTTTTTTTTATTATTAAAATATATTTTTTTTATTACGAATCTGAATATTTTTTTTTTTTGAAGTTAGATTCGTTTATTTTTATTTTTATTTTTTTTTTATTTTTATTTTTTTTTTTTTTTTTTTCAAATAATATTTTATCACAAGTCCAGAAACAGAGCGCTATCGCAGGGTTTAAGCAAAATTAGATAAAGCAATAATACACTTTCTAGGTTGTATTTACCTTAAAGAAATTTAAACCTTATTATTAATGCTCATTTTTATTTATATTTTTTTTTTTTAAACGAAAAAAATTAAATTTTATCAAAAATATTATTTGAAAAAAAATAAACAAATCTAACTTCAAAAATAAATCAGATTATAATAAAAAATTTATAAAATTAAAATATTTATTTTTATTTTTATTTATTTCAAAATAATTTTTAAATAAATACAAAAAATAAAGAGAAAATCATTTTTATTTGAACACACAATCAATATTTTATTATGTGTTATTTCTCTCTTTTTTAAATTTCTTTTTAAAACAAAGTTTTTTTTATAACAATAAAATCAAAGGTATAATAAATAGAAAAATTTAATTTATGATGAAAAAAAAAAAAAAAATTTTTTATAATAA